AGGATTTTGACAATAGCTCAAAGAGTCAGTGATAACAGAATGAAAAAATTCTAATGATAAATAGCATGCAATCCATCAGGCCCGAGTTTTAGATAAAAGTGATGCAATGTGAAAACATTTGGAAGTAAAAGTTCAACTTGTCTACTGCAGTTTGTTAAATGGCTATATTTATATAGATAGATGAGAGTGTTTACAGAAATGTGTCTCAATTAGTAATTTCAGGCATTCCAAGTCAAACTGAACAATTTCTAGATTTACTGCACCTACTATAAACTACTGATACCTCAAAACTACTTCCCAATATTTTCTGCATCTGGCTCCACTCTGTTATCATCTCATCTAAATGTATGTTATATGTTCTATAAAGTAAAGTAAGTAAGTAAGTAAACTAGCCCCACCCGCCAGCTGCCAAAATCGTTTTTGCCTGTGAGTTTGGTCTGGCCTCGATCAATTCCCCAGGCCCTAGAACTGGCGGGCCAATCCCAACGCAGAGATGTGTTTTGAATTTTTGGATGCAAAGTGGGCGGGGTTTTGGGGGCGTGGCGACAAAGCTGCCCGACGCTGGAGAAAGCACAACAAGGAAGATGGCAACAACTATTAAACAGCAGCATGCACTGCGGCAGCAGCAGCTTTCAATGGAGCGTCCCATTGAAAGTTAAAAGTTCTCTTTTCTGTCGCTGTTGTTCAATAAAATTATGTTTTAAGATCATTTGTGGCGAGAATATTATACTTTAAAGCATTGCTATATGGTCCATTTATCGATTTAATGCGTAATTAAAAAAACAATTTCCGAAGTTGAGAGGGCCACAGCAACCAGCGGAGCTCCGAGGCTAACGGCAGCCAGGGCTAACTGCAGCCCTTCTGCAGCGGCCCTCTCTTGGCATAGTCATGTTTGAAGGACTGCTGGCTCTGATGCTGATTTTTGATTCAGCTTTAGAATCAGTTTTGGAAGTATTACACTTAGGGTTTTCGTTGAAACTTGAGCATTTAATTCATTTTTAAGGAGGACGTATTCACCGTTTTTCCAATTGCCTGTTTGTTTACACACCCCCACCAGCTTTCTGTGGCACTTACTACATCACAGTCAGTTGCGCTCATTGGTCAGAGCATTGGCCAATAGGCACAGACAGTCTGTCTCATGCATCGGGGCCAGACTAAATTAGACATTTAATCTCACATTTAGTCTGGTTTATCAGGATAGCACAGTTCTATTCCTGTGTTGATGATGTACACATTGGAACACTAGGTATAGTTCCCTCATCTACTATAAGGTTAGCTGTTGAACTAAACACTTTTTTTCTGCATATAAACCTCTCAGGTTCTGTGTTAGAACACGTCTTTATAGTAAAAAAGGTCACTAGAACCTTCTTGCTTTAAAACTATTCCTCCATTGTTACTGCCATGTTCTTGTAGAGATATACATTTTCTGATACACAGTAAATTCCAAAAGGTTACATTTAGGTCTTATCTTTCTTAGACCACTTTAACCAATCTATTTACTCTAATTTAAACTGGAAAACTGGACTTCTTATTAGTTTCTTTTTGCAGAGGCGTTCATTTTGCCACTGTTTCAATTAAATTGGTTCTCTCACCTAAACTGTAGATCTCTTAAGCTCTTCCAGTGTTATCACAGGCCTCTTGGTTATTACCCTGATATTCGTTCTCACTATGTCACCTGTAAGATTAGGTGTTACATTTGCAGTGGTTTTTCCTCTTTCCAGATTGCAAAAAAAAAAAAAAATCCAGTTTAAAAAAATAAAATAATTTAAGACCTAATGGAAATGGAACACGGTTTGGATTACATAATATATTTTTTGCAAGACACTGTCACTGTCTAGACACTGTCTAGATGAATATACACTTTCAGGGAAAGTATTTTTGAAGTATCTCATAAATATAATAATTTTCATCACATCCCTCCAATGCTCACCCTTAATATGTTTTGATTGTTTATGCCACCAGTGTCTTTATCTGCTTCACAGCTAGGGGGCAGTATAAATTCTACTACTTTTCTGGTTTTGTGTTGATCTACATAATTCCTGATGGATCCTTTCATGCTCTGCCACCTCCCCACCTCTTAGGATGCTGCTGCTGACTGTGAGTTCTCTGGAGGAGTCTCTGATGTGGCAGCCTTTGCTCTACAGCTACTGCTGGGCCCCTGGCGGGGAGGGAGCTCGGAAAGTGATGATGATGTGTTTATAGAGGGAAAGATGTTCAAACACATTTCACCTCACATGGAAGGTTGTGAAGCAGTTGACATCAAGCAGATTGGGATGGTGGGATTGAAAGCTATCAAAACATCTTTCAGGTAGCACCATTTTTTTTGTTGCATATCTCTGCTAAAATTTACATTTTACAAACCAGAGCAAAGCATAATAGTTGCTTTGAGGCTCTAACGAAACTTTGACTCTCCTTATGAAAGCGTATACTGTCCCACCATAGTGGGTGCTAGTCATCTACATAAAGACGTGTTGTAGACACGCTTCCTTCTGCTCCTTTGCACATGCCAAGGGCTTGATTAAACCTACAAAGAAACACATCACATATTTTTTTGATGAGAAGATTTAAATGGGTATAAGGTGCCTTATGCTACAACAGATAAAAGGAAATAATGTAGAATGTGGTGGTTGTCAGGGTGAAAAAGTAAACACCATTTACATGGAAATGGGGCAAGCATGATGCAGAAGTTTCTTATGAATAGCGCAGTAAAAAACAACTTTCACCCAATTTAAAGAGAACTCTATTTTTAATGCGGATTTTCCTCATCCATCATTAAAATTTGATGCTGCCCTCTCTGTGTAATGCACTACATAACCAGCATATTCTATGCAAACCCTGAGTAGTTTTACTGAATCGGTCCAAACAAACATAAAGAGATAACAAATACCACTGTAAGAGGTTCACCAACTGCTTTCAAACGTTTCAGATTTAGAATCTTTGCACGTTTTTTTTTTTTTTGTGACAAAAACAAATACTGTTTATAAATATGAAAGGAAAAGAATAGATAGTATTGAATCATACAGAAAATATTTATTACACTCCATAAGTTTTTTGAGCTCATTTAATGGATTATATTTTGCATACAAAAGTAGTGTAAACATCATTGTTGTCAACTGAAAGGGACAGAATCAATTTGGTTTTACCTGTAAAAAACAATACATATGCTATTCTATTCCATCATTTAACTTCTAATTTTAACCCTCAGCAGCTCCCTTAGAAAGGAAAAACATGACTTTATCACTGAACCACTTCAGGATTGGGCAGAACATTTTCTAATCAGTTTTTGTCACTTTTTTTCTTACAGTACATTCTTTGCCCACCTCCTTGTATTTTCTATCAACTCTTTAGAATAATCACATCAGATATCTTTATTTGAGGAAGTAATCTTTTTTTGTTGTTGTTTGCTTTTTAACAACCTTACAGCTCTTCTGTACTGTAGAAACATAACAATTAAGCTAGCTTAATATTTCAATGCATCAGATTTATGTGTAAGATGAAACAGAGCTGAACTGGCATACCTACAAGGACATTTAAAAGTCCTTGTAGGTATGACTGATGATTCAGTATATTCTGGTGGACTATAATTTGGAGGTTTAATCTGACTTTAGAAGTCACTGAGTAACTATTAACCGGCATTTGAATTGAATTGAAAAAGCTTCCTGGATGGGAAGCAAAACATCTTCAAATTTGTAAAAGAAAGTCCAGTGCTTTGTTTTTTAACTTATTTGGAATGACTATAACCTGGATGACTGAGAATCTTAACCAGCATATTAAACTGTAGAAAACCTAAATTATACAGAGTAAAAACCAAAAAAATTAAACACTGTTTAAACACATTCCTTGAAAACACAGTTGCATGTTCAGATGCTGGATTAATTGGCACACAATAGTACAGCTTATGGTTTTTAAAAATAAAAATAAATAAATGGATAAAAAAAATAAATAACTAAGATGATTCAGTTAAAAAAAACATGAGTTAATAAAATTAGAAATGGTGAAATGACACACAAAAATAGATAAAACAAAAAAAAACTGTTTTTCATGTATGTTTTTGTCACTCCATTTGAAGTAATAAAGTGCCTATGTAAATTAATTAGTGTGTTTTTCAACTTAAGAAGCTTAAGAAATAAATGCAATTGCACAACCTCTAAATATGTTGCTTAACATAAGTTTTCTTAATGGCAAGAATTGTGCGTTTTACACAACTTGTAATGTTCCTCTGTGGAATCATAATAATGTCAGACTAAGCATACTCATTGAAGGTCACCGTTTCATGACATAACTAATAAATGCAATAAGGAAAAGTCAACATTGTGTCAGGACTGAGAGGGTTTTATTAGATTCCAGTAAATTCCAGGCCACATTTTCATTGGCAAGTAAAGCAGAACATTTTCACTGTTCTATTATTGAACTGCAAAAAATGCTGTAATACTCTTTCAGGGAAATATGTATAAAATTAAATTGTAACTCTGAAATAATTGGCAACAAAATGTCTTATTGCTTTCTATTCTGTAGTGGCAGATCAGCTCCTCCAACCAGGCCACTGCAAAGTGGGACTACTTAATGGTCACAGCAGAGAACATGTACCTGACAGGATGCTTTGATATTTATAACCACAGTCTGAAGAAAATAGGACAGCATAAGGAGGTTTAAATATGTGGTTTTAAAATGCTCAGGTTGCCTCAACCTTATGATGTATATGATTTTTATTTTATAAGTGAGACTGTTTATAGATAAACAGATAGCTTCTTCCATAGAGTGTACAACTGTAACACTATTATATTGTGTTACTTAAAACAGTGAATTCAAGCATTTCCAAAATTATTACAGAGCACTATATTCTACTGTACTGCAAAACATATGATACACTCCAATTTTTTCCCAGTTTGTACACTTGTTGATCTCAAACTCCAATGTTTTATTAAGTAGTTTGCCACAAGTCATGTAGACAAGATTAGCCCAGATAAGACTATGTGGCTTGTATACATAACTTTACATACCGTCTACATGGTAGAACATGTACTGCAAGCAAGGACAGGAAAGCTGCTCAGAGTTTATTGGTAGATGGATGGAGCTAAATCCAGGATTTTCCTGGGGAAAAAAAAATTGGAAAGGAGAAAAGACCTGAGACTGGGGTAGAGGCTTACCTTCTTGCAGGACATCCACTCTGAACATACAACCAGTCTAAATAACAATATTTAGGTATAAGTGCATTCATTTTAGTCTCTGAATATATAAAGATATATTTACTTCATGGCTTTATAGAAAAAAAAAATTTACTATTTGGTGAACAGAGCTTCATATTTAAACTACAACAGTATCTTTTGTTTTACAGGGAATGATCTAACAAACATCTTATATCTTTTCAACAGCTAAGATTAGTTTAGATTGGCAAAGATTATAAAATGAAGTGCACTACTGAAGTCAACATAGGCCTTAAAATAGCAACAGAATAGTAGCATATCACAGCCTCATTACCTGCATATCACATTGCATTACTGTGCAGAGTTAACAAAAACATTTCAATGAAAATTCAGAAAAATGTTTATTCATCTTCCTCACATACCATCATATCAACAAAAGTAACACTCACAAAGAACAGTACGTTCTGGTGGCCTAGTTTAAAAAGCCACCCACGCATTAAGCAGATATCTGTGCACCCGCAGGTGTGTTAAGTTTATACTTCTACTGAGAATTGTACATACTGCATAGGCACAATATGCTCTTTCCTTTGTTTCAGAGTTTTTGTGAGCAAACTAATGTCTCCTTTCAAAACAGGTATAGATAAACAAGAAAGGAATTAGAAAAAAGTTTGATATTGGTGGATTAATTTTTGCTAAAATCCATCTTTTTTTACATCACGCATGCTTTGCCTTTAATACAGCCAAAACATCATGAAGTTTTCTAATGAAACACCTGCCTAATCCACACATGAAAACAGATTTATTTATAATAAATACTTTTTTTATAATTTAAAATAAACAAAAATGGTTCACTTACGACCCAAACAGGAGCGCGAAGAGCATTTCTGCTTTGAAGGAAAATGGATGGAGGGCTCTGCATGCAGATACTCTGAAAGGCAAGCAGCATACAGTAGAAATTACAGCTATGTTACTTCATGAGGCAAGCATAAAAAGAAATATTTTAAGTTTACCTTTAATAAACAATCAAAAAGCTAATTTGTTTAGAGTTAAAATTAAGATATTCACAACAACCTAACCTTAGAAGACATTGTCTGGAGCACTAATTAACTATTAAAAGCACTGTGTCTCGTTAATGTATAACACCTAGTTTATGTACTTTTTGTGGGATCTTTTAGCTTTTCTTACTGCTAAGAAAGTACTGATCAGCCTATTTAACCCTTTAACTGCACGTTCAACCAAATGCTTTACAATTTGCTCAGCAAACTGCAGGTTTTATTTAATATTTGTTGCACCATAGTGGACAGATCAACCTCTGGTGAGTTTTTTCCAAAAAAAAAAAAAAAATTATGTACCTTACGTTAGAACTACAGCAGGTTCTAACCATAGGATTGAATCATATTAAATCCTTGGTTTGTAGAAGTAAATACACTTAAGATTTTCACAGAGTTGCATCAGAATAATAAAATATGTAGTTTTACCAGGATCAGGCAAAAACTAAGTTAACTGCAATATGATCTTTAGCTCAAAAATGTTTGCATATTCATAATCGACTTCACATTAAAATCATACCTTGTATATATTTTACACTTACAAAAGCAGCAGCTTGAAAGCACCTTTACAATAAAGTGTGTCAAGTCACCCTAATTTCGGCTTTTGTACCTTTTTTAATTATTAGTCCCTTCTGTCTCATTTCATCTAATTAATTTATTAGTTTGAAGCATATCTCTGAATTTATTTAATCACAATATATTTTTCAGTCAAGATGCATTGACATTTCAAATTTTTCAGATGAGTTTTGTATTTTTGCAATACACTCACTTAGATACAGACCTCAGTAAATGGCTCCTCCTTAGTCAAAAATGTGACAATAGCAGTTCCAGCAAGCACAGTGGAAAGCACTAAACGTTATAAAACTGCTGACCACAGACGGATGTCTTGTTTTCATGCAATGGCACACTACAGTTATGTAAATTATTACTAAAGTAGTATAGCATTGTTGAAAAAACTGCTCTCTGCTGTAAAGACAATTTTTTACTCCACCATTTCTTTGTGATCCTCTAAAAAAGTTGATTGGAAATAAATTAGATTTTTGATGGTAAGATATTTAATCTATCTAACCTTTAAATAACAGAAGTATGCTTGCCAAAATCTACTTAATACAGGTCTTCTAAACTGAAACATGTCTTGTTGAGGTCCACATGTACTGTAGCAAGGACATACTGGATTCCCCTCATGCCCTGACAATCCTGCACAAATCTGTCACAATGGGATTGGCAGCATGTCAGGGTGGAGCTTAGGGTTTGTTTATGCCTGATGCATGGTGATCTGCTCGGAAAATGAACCACCCGTTACAACGTCTGCAGTTTTTTATCCTCTCTGAAGCTTTTCCCTCATACTGACTGGCTTCAGAAGGGTATCTACAGCACAAACAGCAAGCTTCTAGTACCACAGTACAGGCGAGTATCTACAGCACAAACAGCAAGCTTCTAAAACCACAGTACAGGAGGAAGTAGAACAAATAGACAATTTACTTTATCAAAACCTCTTTGTGGTGTCCAAAACTTTTTCACAATGTTTTGATAGTGGTGGTATTTATGAGCTGAATCATAGATTGTCTCTAGATTTTTACATTTGCAAACCTTCAATAGTAGGAGATGTTTCACACTTGCAGTGTTTTTCTGTGTAGATCCTTCCATATAGTTAGATCTGGGGGTCCTGAAATTCTGTTAAATGGATGCTGCAGGGAGGAGTGTGAAAACTAAAAATTGTGTAATTTCCCTTGTGGACTTTTCAGGCATAAATCAAGCTTTAGGGGAGTTATGGCATCAGCATTGTAACCAGAATGTATAGGCACTGGTGAGGCATCAGATATTCTAGAACTTGAGGAAGGACTGATAACACTGGAATCCTGCTAATCAGCATCTTTTTTTCTCTTAACATTACCAAACAATGCTCTCTTTGTGCAGATAAAGTTATACATATAGGTACAGGAATGAGCTACAGAATCTGCTGGAGTAACAGAAACTGTGAAAGAGAGATCATGCAGGGTCGACTGTACTGGTTGCTGGGAGACTGAAGGAGGTTGTGGGTCTTTCAGGTCGCAGATTGTATAGTGTGTACCTGTCAGGCTTTCAGTGAAAATCCTTGGATTCTATTTTTTTTCCATCAGGGACAAGGAGAAGGAGGAGGAGATGAAGAGGGAGGAATTACAAGCTATGGTTCATTGGAGATACATATTCATCAAGATTCTAGCTGATCTGCCTGACTAACAACTTATTTGTACAGTATAATATGACAGCATAACTTCATCAGTGTGTAAAAAAATACATCATAATGTTTTAGAAGCCATTTTGGAAAATTTCACAATGATTACTGTTAATACTTAAATACAATATGGGTTTAATGTTTAAGATCTCTTGATTACTCCTGAGGGTAGTCATAGAGGGCGGCATCAAGGTTCAATTAGTTTTCCCTGAAAGCAGCATACAAGATTGCATTCTAAGCAGTGTACAGCTTTCTGATAGAATAGCCCTTCATCTGTGTGCTCATCATCCTGCTGATATACTCATAATAAATAAAACCAAGACAAACCTTCAGCAAACAGAGGTTCTGCTCATTATGTGAAGGTGGAAACAATAACCTATTGCAAATGTGGCAATAGAGTCATATCAGTGTGGCTGGACTTGACAATAAACATTCTGCTCATATAAGATATAGGGTAGCATCACATGTAACTTCGGTCATGGACATCTTAGTTGGATTAAAATCCAAGGTTAAGGAGCCTAATTCTTTTTTTTTTTTTTTTTTATAAATTACCTGCTAGGTTGCCAGTCTACAGATGTTTTGTCAGTGCCATGAGCCTTGATTTAAATGGATAAATACATTATGTTAACAAAAGGGAATAGACCTTGATCAATATTTTTAACTCAATGCACTTTCCCACAACACTTTAAGCCATTTTAGATGACCTCCTGTGCCAGTAGTTCCAGCCTTGGCAAATCTCTCAAATTAATCAGGGAAAAAATACTAAACAATTAAAAAAAAGATCCTTCAGTGACTACAGCTATAATGTATTCCTATTAGTATGAGACTGGAAAAGTCAAATAGCCCCATTGTTTTCTTTGAGTTACAGACTTAATCACATCATCCGAATCATTCGTGGTCTAAACTCTAACTGTGATTTTTGGCTATTTTAATGAAATCTTTTTAAACCATCCAGGTGAAACCGGTTTTGGCAGCACTTTCTGGATTCATTAGCGTATTAAGCCTCTTTTTCATAAAATGAGGTGGACTGCACTGTCCTAAGGGGGATTTGCATGGAGTAAGAGTGAGAGGACAAGGAGAGACAGAAGGGGAAGGGAGAACCAAAGTACCATTGGGATGAAATTTTGAGTTTGCCAAGGTCAGCATAACTCTCACTATGAAATGAAACTCTGCCAAACACACACAGACCAGCAGGAAAACACACTCATACAAGAAGCATCTCACTGCCCATATTAGCTCTGCCCTGGGCACAACCTGCTGAGAATTGCTAAATTACCACAGGGCTCACACTTGGCTATATGGGCATGTACTCCCCCACATAGAAACACACAGACTGCTTGCTTTATCTTTTGTGTCAATAAATTAGTCTCTGCTCGTCTGGGGTTCTTCACCTTAAACCTTTGTCTTTTCTGCACTCAGGTGAGTGCCAGCTGTTGTGAGTCTTGACAGCTGGAATTTGTGGACCGTCTGCCAATGTACTCTTAATGACTTTTACCTTGTTGATTAACTACATTCTAAATAATCTCCAAACTTCATTACCATCCATCCATCCATCCATCCATCCATCCATCCATCCATCCATCCATCCATCCATCCATCCATCCATCCATCCATCCATCCATCCATCTTCAGTTTCCCTAGGGCAGAAAGAAATTAATGCCCCATATAATTTGCATGCTTATAAACATCTTAATTTTTTACCACTCATATTTGCAAGTAAGGCCAAGCCACTTCATTGATTGCATCTAACATTGGCAAAGAAAGAGAATGAAATAACTTCCCCCACACATGTCAAACACATCTGTATTCACTTTGCTTGACGTGCATCAAGAGCATTTTTCAAACTCTAGACGAGCATCTGACTTCAAATTGTACAAGGGTAAAAGTTGAGGCCCTGGATGGCTTATCAACATGCAAACATGGTAGGTCTGAAAGTAACTTTAAAGCATATGAAAGGAGATATTTATCATAGTACTTCCATGCATGTCACTGATCACCGGTGACCACATGTTCAAAATCTATCCAAAACAATTTACCCAAGACTAACAGTTCTGACTCTCACTCACACACCTTTCCACACACTTCTATTCCAGGACTAGCATCAATCGTTTTATATCATAAAATATGCAGCTCTTCTTAGAAAGTCTTGCTGATATGTCAAAACTGTGAATGGTTTTTAAAATTCAGGTTTTGCTTGTTCTTATTAATACATCCAGACTTTCCTACCATGCCATTTGGATCGTAGAGGGAGTTTTATGAGTCATCTAATACTTTCTATTTTTTTGAGGCGAAAATCTATGACAACTGTTACTTTTGTACGGTTGTTCTAAACCATTAAACGGTCATATCTTTTTTACCACAATGTGTTTAATATCCATTATTGCTGTAAAGCACAAAGTAAATGCCTTGACAGTACTATAAAAGGTTGTTTAATGTTTTAGTATAGTCCTTTTAGCACATAAAATAATCATGATTTCATACTCTTTTAAAATTTCAACAAGGAAAAACCAAAACAATGTTCTAGGTTGCATGTCAAAGCTGTTATCAGTCTCAAAACAACCATGCTTATTCATTATAAAGGAGTCAGTTGTGATAGGAACCATCCCAGCATAACAAAGATATTTAATTCATTTTCTAACCCTTTGAGGACAAAACTTACCACGG